ATTCAATTGTTTACAGCATGACCAAATTTGGCGCGGCCTGCGTAGCGCCGTTCGGAAACCATTCTGGAAAAACCTCCGAGGGGTCAATTTGACCCCCACCCGAGCGCGTGTTAACGTGGCCGAAGTAGAGAAACGCACTGCCTCGGGGATTTCCATTCGGTACAAGAGGCCCTCCAATTGACATTAAGCACCATTTCTCTACGGGCGGGGTCCCTAACGTCACTTACAGTCACTTACCCTTCGTGCCTTTCAGCCTTGCAATCGGACTCTTAATCTTTGATCTCAAGACCCTTAGGCCCCTTTTTGGCTCCCTCAAGCACGGCTCCTGGGCGACTCGCGGCCTCTGAACTAATCAAGCACTGTGCCGCCACCGGACTCCTGTTGGGCACTACGTCTCCAACCGACACAGGAACGCCTCATTGTGTCTGAGTATTGCAAATTGCGGGTTCCGGCCTCGTTCCTACTTAGGAGATGGGCCCCAAGGGCTTAAAGGACACGGAGTCGACTGTTTGGCTCTGTGTCGAGGCTTCATATACTAGGGATAGAGACCCCTAATAAAATGGCCCCGAAAAGAAGCCCTCCGACAAACATTTCAGGTCACGACGCGACGGATGGGGGGCCAGGCTCAATTTCATTCAGCCCATTGTCTTTGGTCCCGAGGGGCCCTTCAGGCCACTCCTTGAAGCCCTGCTACACAGCTCCTGGTGACTCTGGCCCCTTGCCGACACAGAACCCCGTGTTAGGCACTATGACCCCTGACCGACATAGGGTCCTGACCATTGCTCCAGGTACCCGGACCAATGCAAATCGTAGCCCCGGTCTTGCTCCTGCCAGGGAAATTGGCCCCCAGGCTTCAGACTGACAGGGAGCCGACTGTTTGGTGTAGGTGGTCTCCGGCCGGCTTAGACACCCGTGTTGTCTCAGAGGGTTCTCACACTGTGCAAGAGGCCATATGACTGATATTTGAGGTCACGATCCTACGGGCTGCGACTCTTTATGTGACTTACAATCAGCACCTCGGGCCCTTATGCCCTCCAACCGGGCCCTTAATCGTCCGTTCCGGTGAGCCGCCCGGCCCCACCTCAGGCCTTATCGGACACTGCCTTATGTCGGCGCGGGCCCCTCGTTTGCATAGGCCCCCTGCTAGGTACTGTGGGACCCTGAGAGATGCAGGGGCCCCGAGTAGAGCAAATCACTGGCCTCGGCTTTATAGCTGCTTGGAAAGTGGGCTCTTAGGTCTATACTGGCACGGAGCCGAATGCGGTACCGGTAGTGTGTGGCCGACATATACGCGCTTATCGACTCAGGGGCCCATGATAGCGCGCAAGGCCCTCTGTCTGGCATTGGGGTGCCCAGCCCTGTGGATAAAGGCCCTGAATGCGACCTCCGGCCGTCCTTTCGGGCCGTGCAATCGGACCCTGCGGTCGGGTCCTTAATCGTAGGTCACGAGGGGCACTTCGGATCCTTCGGAACCTAAGGGGGGGGCGGGGGGAGGGGGGGAGGCGTTACGTATCCCTCTCCGCCTGCGCCACCGGTCCCGGATCAAGGACTTTTGGCCTCCATCCTTGACACCGATCATTATTTGCCGGCGTGGTTAACGCTCCACCGGTCCCGCGCCGAGCGTGAGGCCGTCCGCAGACAAGTAATCTCGGGTGACGTTATCATCTCGCGGGCCGGCGTTCAACGGCCGGCGCTCGCCGGCCGGCGGCACCGCAGCGCTATTGATCAACAGATGGCACAGCAACCAGCAGCAGCGTGGCACGCCGCAGGCACCGACGGACGGCGAAAGGCAGCCGCCCTGATCACCGCCACGACTGCTCCACAGCCGCTCTCTCACGGGCCGCTGCTACATAGCCACTCTCTCACGGGCCGCTGCCACACAGCCGCTCCCTCACAGGCCGCTGCCACACAGCCGCTCTCTCATGGGCCGCTGCTACACAGCCGCTCTCTCACAGGCCGCTGCCACACAGTCGCTCTCTCACGGGCCGCTGCTACATAGCCGCTCTCTCACGGGCCGCTGCTCCACAGCCGCTCTCTAGCGGGCCGCTGCTACATAGCCGCTCTCTAGCGGGCCGCTGCTACATAGCCACTCACTCACGGGCCGCTGCTGCACAGCCGCTCTCTCACGGACCACTACTCCACAGCCGCTCTCTAACAGACCACTGCTCCACAGTCGCTCTCTCACGGGCCGCTGCTACACAGCCGCTCTCTCACAGACCGCTGCTGCACAGCCGCTCTCTCACGGGCCACTGCTCCACAGCCGCTCTCTCACGGACTACTGCCACACAGCCGCTCTCTAATGGACCACCGCTCCACAGCCGCCCTCTCACGGACCGCCGCTCTCCGCTCTCTCAAGGAGCACTGCTCTACAGCCGCACTCTTACGGACCACTGCCCTCCGCTCTCTCACGGAGCACTGCTCTACAGCCGCTCTCTGACGGACCACTGCTCCACATCCGCTCTCTCACGGACCACTGCTCTCCGCTCTCTCACGGACCACTACTCTACAGCCGCTCTCTCACGGACTACAGCTCTCCGCTCTCTCAAGGAGCACTGCTCTACAACCGCTCTCTCACGGACCACTGCTCCACAGCCGCTCTCTCACGGGCCGCTGCTCCTCAGCCGCTCTCTCACGGACCACTGCTCTCCGCTCTCTCACGGGCCGCTGCTCCACAGCCGCTCTCTCACGGACCACTGCTCTACAGTTGCTCTCACACGGACTACTCCACAGCCGCTCTCTAACGGACCACTGCTCCACGGCCGCTCTCACACGGACCACCGCTCCACAGCCCCTCTCTCACGGGCCACTGACCCACATCCACGGACCACCGCTCAACGGTCATGGGCCACTATCCAGACACGGGTCACTATCCACATCCACAGGCCACTGTCTACAGCCCCGGGTCACTGTCCACAGCCGCGGGTCACGTCCCCAGACAAGGGCCACTGTCAACAGACACGGGTCACTGTCCACAGACACGGGTCACTGTCTGCGGCCGTGGGTCACTGTCCACAGTCGTGGGTTACTGTCCACATACACGAACCACCGTCCACAGGCCACTCTATACAGAGGTATGCACGGGCATAAACGGATACACAATGCTCCACAGCCGCTCTGACGCAGTCCACACGACGACAACGGTGTTCCACACCCATGGGCCCTGGGCGTGGAGACGCCCCTTTTATGCTAACATTATGAGACAGAATAAACTAGGCAGCAAATTTGAAATGCACGCAAGCTAAGATAAACAGGAAAAACGCCTTGGGGTAATGCTGGGTCTAACAAAAAGCCAGCAGATTTTACTCCCTGAGCGGCTTTACTTTATCAGGATAAATTTATTCGCCATTTCACGCTTTATGTACTTCCTGATGGCATATTCAGTGCCAAGGCGCCAAATTTGCAAACGCAAATGACCAAGAGGTGGGTACATGTCGAGGAACGGAGAAAAAGGTCGAGGAAAAAGGTACCGGGTATCTTGGTAGACCAAGCGATAAACGAAGGGTTCGGCTTCTATTTGCCCAATTTTTCGTGCATTTCATATCTGGTACCAAATTAGGTAACCATCTTACGATTCTGGGCAAAAAGTGTCGTTATTCCTTTCTCCCGCGATGTTTTGTGTTCTGTGTCCCATGCTAGATGTTTTCTCTCACTGGAACACACAGTACAGACTGCCGCTCTCTCGTTGTATTGCTCCTGGCATGGAGACCCAGCGTTCCAGACACTATCTCACGACCCCAGACAAAAAGACGAAGTGTCTTAAAGTCACTGCCCCATGGTTCCCTGATCAGGAGACGAAGCGTTTTACAGCCGCCCTTTCATGACGTCCATCCTGATATGGCGATTATCACACAGCCTCTGCCACATAGCCCCTGTCATGGGGCTCGATGTTCCAGCGATGCTTGCTGTCTTGACCGCGTGCCTGACCACGCCCGGGAGCCAGCCGCTCGGCCCCAGCCCAGCTATTGGTTCTGGTTACGTTTGAACAGCCGTGAGGGTTACCGGGCACACTACCCCTTGTCAAATATGGACAGAGCGGGAAGTCAGAGGAGCGTCTATTAACTGCCATTTACATGCGCACCACATCCCACCGAGACTGAAAATAATCCTCACTGAACCCGGCTGGGAGCGCGGACTGGGGGCGAAAATCGCCAGCTAATAATTCTGTCGAAAAAATAACAGGCCGCTAAAAAGTGAGCACGGGAGCGAAAATAGTGTGGCAGCTGTGTTGCCTTCAAGTGGTATATTGCCACAGAGAAATACACAATCAGCGGTTCTCGGTGACTTATTATGGGGAGGAGAATTAGGCGTGATGTCAGGAAAAAAGTTTAAAAACAGACATCGCTGCCGGGAAGTGCGAAGGAACCACGGCTTACGCCTTCAAATCATATGACATGCAATTTACTTCTTTTTTAATCGGCTCAATGTGCGCAATGTAAGCGCCTTCCTCTGTGGGTTAACCCCGAAATGATCCACACGGAACCAATTAGGGAATCAAGTTACAGAACTGCAAGTCAAAAATGCTGGCAAGACAAAGCTGGAGCACGCTATTTGCAATGGTAAAGAATCTGTAACAACTGGCGTCAATCAAAAATGCATCTTCCATTTGCTATGATAACACGAGATACAATGTATGAAGCACTATTCTACCGCTCACCAGTTTTGAATGCTGAGGCAGGAAGCGTAGTTTGACTGGACATCGGGTGGCGCGGTAAGGTTCCGTACAGCGACGTAACTGTAAGGTTACAGTGCGGGTTTTACTTTACTTTGCCTTCATGAAGACGGCAGCGTAGAATGGGTGGTGCGGTAAGGTTCCGTGCGGTTATATAACTGTAAGGTAACAGTGCGGGTTTTACTCCACTTTGCCTTCATGAAAACGGCAGCATGCAATATGTCTGTAAGGGGCTTAGGATTGCTTACTATGGGTGGTGAAGTTTTAGCGGGTGACTGTCGCTAACACGTTTGCTGCGCTGTCGAACAGAAATGTTGTGTCTGTTCTGCAGGACCTGACACAGCGGTCCGGAGGTCACGACAAGAGAACGGTGGCGGATGGCGACAGCCTCGACGGACTGCGGTACCCTTGTCGACGGGGCCACACCACTGACCCGGCCGTCCTGCCCCCGTCAGGTCAGTCAGGTCAAACGGCAGACCCGGCCATCCTGCCCGCGTCAGGTCAGTCAGGTCAAACGGCTGACCCGGCCACCCTGCCCGCGTCAGGTCAGTCAGGTCAAACGGCTGACCCGGCCATCCTGCCCGCGTCAGGTCAGTCAGGTCAAACGGCTGACCCGGCCGTCCTGCCCCTGTCAGGTCAGTCAGGTCAAACGGCTGACCCGGCCATGCTGCCCGCGTCAGGTCAGTCAGGTTAAACGGCTGACCCGGCCGTCCTGCCCCCGTCAGGTCAGTCAGGTCAAACGGCTGACCCGGCCATCCTGCCCGCGTCAGGTCAGTCAGGTCAAACGGCTGACCCGGCCGTCCTGCCCCCGTCAGGTCAGTCAGGTCAAACGGCTGACCCGGCCGGCCTGCCCCCGTCAGGTCAGTCAGGTCAAACGGCTGACCCGGCCATCCTGCCCGCGTCAGGTCAGTCAGGTCAAGCTGCTGGCCCGACCGTCCTGCCTGCGTCGGGTCAATCAGGCCAAACGGCTGACCCTGCCATCCTGCCCGCGTCAGGTCGGTCAGGTCAAACGGCTGACCCGACCATCCTACCCACGTCAGGTCGGTCATGCTAAACGACTGACACGGCCCTCCTGCCCGCGTCAGATCAGTCAGGTCAAACGGCTGACCCGGCCATCCTACCCGCGTCAGGTCAGTCAGTTCAAGCGGCTGACCCGGGCCTGTTGCCCACGTCAGGTCAGTCAGGTCAAGCTGCACGGCAGCCGTTCATATGTTAATCTGTGGATACACCCACGCGTGCGTATAGAGGTGCGCTGCGTCCACCCGTGCCCATCTTCGAACGTTTTCAGTCCAACTCCCGCCGAGGTCATTCCGCCCGGCTGCCGACGGCCGGGCTACATTCATACCCGTCGAGGAGCGGCGGCACGTGGCGCCAGTGTGGCGCAGAAGCCGACCCGGACAGCACCGAGCGCCGGCCAGTCGGCCTCTCAGACGGATATTGGCCGGGTGGTCGGCCGGCGGGCCCGCTGGCCGACCACCCGCGATATTACATTGATCAGACGCGGATAAGGCGTGATCAATGCGCAGATTCGTCCCGCGGGTGTCGCCGCGGCGAGGAACTTGGCCGCGCCGCTTATTAGGTGTGACCGGCGCGGCCGGTGGCTGACCGGGCTCTCCCGTGCGGACGAGGACAAGTCGGAGCCGGATGGGCGGAGGGGGAGGGGAAGCGGCAACGAGCCTTAAAGCGACGTGGTTGGCGGCAAGCCGAGGGATCTCCGTACGGTCGAGGATGAGTCAGAGTCGGACGGGGGCGGGGAGCGGCGGTGAGCCTTGGAGCGGCGCGGTCGATGGCAGAGCGGGGGTCTCCCGCGTGCACGGGGTCGGCAGTGGCGAAGAGCCGGTCGGGGGACCAGAGCCAGAGTGCGCGACTTACCATCGAGGGCACACAGACATTCACGAGACGCGCAATCAGCTGCACGGCCGTCGTCAGCGCCGGCGGCTGTCGTCAGCGGTGGCGGCCATCGCCAGCGCCGGCGGCCGGCGTCAGCCCCGGCAGCCGTCGTCAGCGGTGGCGGCCATCGCAGCGCCGGCGGCCGTCGTCAGCGCCGGCGGCCGGCGTCAGCGGAGGCGACCATCGCCAGCGCCGGCGGCCGGCGTCAGCGGAGGCGACTAGAGACGAACGACAGGGCGCCGGGGCAGCCGACACATCAAACACTGTCGCAGGCTGGCGGCACTCGGGCGGAAGCAACGAGGAAACGGATGGCCGGTATTTCGTTCCCGGAGGACGCAACACAGCTGCTCCCTGAAGTGCGTTTGTCCCGCATGAAGGGGTCCGCTGCTGAGACACGCTCTCCCGCGGGAAGATGATACTTCAGCGTCCAGCGACATTCGCTCAGCGCCCGTGCAAGCAGATAAACGTCAACAAATCGACAGATATTGAGCGGCGCGGCGGAAGTGCTCCGAAAAGCCGGCGTTTAGGCCAAAATGTTTGCCATTAATGTGCAACATCCAAAAGTAAAAAAACTGTGGGAAGTGATGGGAACGAATCAATCGAGCAAGGTTGTAAAATTGCGCGCAAATTTAGTTGAAGCCCCGCACTGACGGAACACATATGATCTTTTCGGGATAAAATGTACCTTACGGTCAAGCCATATAAACATTCAAATGATAGCCTAAACAGTGATAAAATGGCGTTAATAGAAATCTTAATACCTAAAGCGAGGACGAAAAGTCAATCTAGCCTTGCTGAACTTACGGTGTGACGTAACAATAGCAAATTTGGCGGCGACACTGCCAGTTTAAAAATGGATAAATCTTACCAATTTTGCTTATGGGGCGCGTGTCGCACAAGCCTACAACCATGGGAGACGCCACTTTTCCTCAACTTTTAAAGGAATAGGATGGCCAGTGTCAATGGTGGGCCTGCACCGTACAGGGCCGAGGTTTATCTCATGCTCGCCTCCCCGGAGCCGTGACGGCGGCGGCGGCGGCGGCGGCGCGATGGCGAGCCGGCGCCGGCGGCCGTGGCGGGGGCGGTGGCGCGGCGGCGCCCACGGTCGGTTCGGTGTCGTCATTAGCCGGACCCGCCGGCCGCTGACGTCCGTCCAACTGCCGACGAGCCCTAATCACCGCCTCCGCCTCCTGTCTCTCAGAGGACTTCGAGCGGAACTTTGTGCGCGTGCTCAACAGGATATACCAAACGATCGAGCGGAACGAGCTGCGGCTGGAGGACCAGGAGCGGCGCGAGGCCACACGCCAGGAGTGGCAGCAGGTCAGCCGGCCGCCGGCCCTTTCCCGCTCGTGTGTGTGTGTGTGTGTGTGCACGCCTCATGCTCTGACTGTCTGTCGCTGTCCTTTTCACCCACACATCGCTTGCGCGCTGCGGCTGCAGCCCAGCTGACTCGACGACGAACGTGCCGCAGGTGGCAGTCGTCTGCGACCGCGTGCTGCTGCTCATCTTTCTGCTGTCCACCGCCGCCGCCACGTCGGCCATCTTGTTTTCGTCGCCGCACGGGCCCTGACGTATGTCGGCTGACCACGTCTGACCTCGCTCCACCCCGACCCGCGGAGGGTCACCAGGCCAAGGTCATTGGAGACGGCAGCGTGGCGGAGTGTGCAGGAGACGTCTGGCAGCGGCGCAAAGCTTGGGGACCTGCCTGACGGCCGCAGTCGCAATCAAGCTCCCCACTGGACAGCACTGATAGTTCTAAGCCCATTGACTTAAAGCTGAAAGTCGCTCACGCGTGGTGTGGTTGGAGAAGGGTAGTAATAGCGGGTGTGAGATGGAGGCCAAAAGGGCCCAGAGACGTGCTGAGATGGAGGCCACGAGGTCCCAGAGATGTGCTGAGATGGAGGCCACGAGGGCCCGGAGACGTGCTGAGGTGGAGGCCACGAGAGCCCAGAGACGTGCTGAGATGGAGGCCACGAGGGCCCAGAGTCGTGCTGAGATAGAGGCCACGAGCACCCAGAGACGTGCTGAGCGCGCCATACTGGGAAGCGACGGTAAAGCGACGCTTGGTGATTATCACGGTATCACGTGTTGGACATATCGAGAACTTCTTTGGCAAATAAGTGCATGCGAATAGGACGAGTTTAACGGGCAGAGTTCATTGCAAGTGACAATCTCCGCGAATGAGACCATCTGCACATAGCACTCACGAATAAATGCAATAATTTTGTCTGAGCACTGAACATGTCGGCGCGTCCGTGTTCCCAGCAGAGCGCACAGTGCAGCTGGACATCTCTTCTCTATGTGTGGTGGGTGATGCTGCTGTTACAGGTGCCAGTGATTGTTGAGCTTTGCTGCGTGCGTCTTGAGACATGCATCATGGCACGTCCACCTGTGCGCTTCCAACGAACGCATTTCCGTTTGTTCTAAGTGAATAAATAATAATTAAGTGGCGTAACATGCCTATTCCAAGTTGTTGTGGCCCTAACCTCATTGAATTTGGTCACTATCTATCTTGATGGGTTTGTGATTTAACTAGGCATTGGGCAGAGTCCCAGTATAGTATGCCAGGACCACAGCCCTGCACTGCACTGCGCTACAGTGTCGTGATCTGACAGCATTATCTAATCTACACCCGGTGTAATCAAATGAGAAAATCCCCTGAGGGGTGCGGCCCACACGCCACATGTCACATGCACCTTGAAACCTTGTTCCACGCAGGGAGAGCTGACAGTTGACATAAGTCTCACGACATCCGCGCCAATATAATGCTGCGAATCCCGCCGGGCCTGAGGCGACAGCCAAGCATGCGGTGGACACCATGTCTCGGCACTTCTTTCAGCTATCAAACACTGAGATTCTGATCAGATACGTGTGTGCTCACGCCGTCCATCGCAACAGTGTGCTCATTTGCAAGACTTTGAGAGGAAAATGACTCGTCTTAGGGATTTACGGCGTTCAGTTTCGGAATCTTTGCAACTTCAGTCCGCCGCTCATGGTTATCGGTAATCTTTTACACCATTTCGACCTCCTTCGGGGCTTTGGCGAACACATTTGTGTCTCCAGGGAACATTTTGGTGAGGCGATTCTGATAGTCTCGCAGCTCCTGTAGCGTTGCAGCGGGGTGGGCGCTGTGAGCAACGTCGTTTGCAATGTCTTGTGCAACTTCGCAACATTTTCTTTGTGGTTTCTTAGGGGCTCTCGGGCCTTGTAAGAATGGAAGTTCTGGAGCTCCGCAACGCCTTGTTTTGCCGTCAATCACTCCTTCAACCTTCTGCAACTTTTGCAATAAATTGACAGAATCGCCTCCAGGATCTTTGATGTTTAGCGAGAGTACTGAAGGTGGTTTAGGGCGCTATTTCGATTCGTTAAGCAGTAAACTGCGCTTGCAACATTCTGCAAGTTTTGCAACATTCTTCAGGACTCTCTTGTACGAGCTGATGTCTTGGAAGACCACTGAAGGTAGTTTCAGAATACACACTTGCTTCTTTATGTTCATACCTCTTTCATTTGATGCTAGGAATGTCCTCATACGTCCAGGCAGCCTGGCCGTCTCGCAATGAAAGCTGCACTCAGAAATACGCTGCACGACGTGCTCCTTCCAGACTACATACGAGTGTGAGGCTGACCAAACCCGTATGAGACAGAGAGGTACTTCACTGGTCGGGATGGAGGGTGAGGTTGAGTTACGTAATGATATCGAGAAGAGTCCGTGGGATGGCTCTTCCCCTGCCACATCCATGTGACACGGCTTAGGCTACGAGCAGCCTGTCGGGCATCTCGCCTACTTCCCAAGTCTGTCTTCGGTTTCAATATGAGCCGACGGTTTTACTGGCCGACGGTAAATACGGTTTTTTCTGCCGTTGCTTCCGCTGGTCCTTTTAACACATCAACTTGCATGCAGTTCCATGCATTCGCCCCCCCCCCCCCATATCATCATATGTTGCATTCATTCGTGTTATCGCGAATCAAGTTCTGCCCCATAATTTACCCTACTTTTTCCATCCAGTGGCAGACAGAGTCGGGATGGAGTACTGTTACCTAATATGCTGCCAAATTTAGGGTATCAGGAACCTTAAACACACATTTCCACTGCTTAGTCCTTCTCGTCTTGGCACGGCAGGCTCTTTCAAGCGAGGTGTTCGGGTTCATTCGGCCGAAAGGCAAAAACATCTAATACGTCTTTTCCGCCAATACAGGAGTCTCTCACCCTCAGTGTCGCCCAAGTACCGTCCTTGCCCCTAAGGGTGGCCTGTCCTTCAGGCAAGTATTTCCTGGCTGGGATCTTATGCCGCATTTGCCGAACACATCTTTGGTGAACGTCTTTACGAGGAACACGTGACAACTACGACGGGTTGCACCTTGCGCAAATTGTGGCGGGCACCCGCCGTCCCTGTTTTATGAGAGCCACCCGGGCTGTTTAACATGTGACGACTACGCCGAGTCGTGCCTTGCTCAGATTCTAGCGGGCGCCCGCCGTCCCTGTTTTATGAGAGCCACCTGGGCCGTTTATACCAGTTTCAGCTTGCGAAGAGCGTGACAACACCGCACAGCTAATACGTTATTGTCCTGTGACCCGAAGTGGCTCTTCATCCTTAGTATTGCCCAGGTAGCATCCTATCCGCCTTCCCCCAATGTCAACCACAAAGCGATTTACTGGCGGTTTTTTTACCGTCTTCGTCGAGACATCTTTCGCAAACGTCTTCACGAGAAACTTATGACTAGTCAAACCTTCCATAAAGTCTTACGGGCATCGTCCCCATATAACGAAAGCCCTTCTGACTGGCGTCCCCCCCGTCTTGAACGAGATCAGTCTTTCGACGTGACCGCTTATCCTCTCGCGGTCCAAAGCCCCGCTTCCTTTACCCGCAGTCACCAATGCCAGTTAACATCATGGGCATGAAAGCCCTGCATGCATAGTCTCTTTCCTCACGCGCCCGCTAGCTTCTTACAAGTGCTTCCTGAATGTGTCTGGCTTAACCTCGATCGCATGACATCGAGTGAATGTCTATTGTCTTCAACACCAACTCCTTCAACACAAACCGGTATGGCCACTATGCCTTTGCATTAACGCCCAATAATTTGTGATTGATCAACGTGCTCCCCACTTAACCATCACTCCCGAATTTCGTGATCATTACATTGCATTCGAATCCAACTCATAACGTGAGTTAGGAAGAGGATAATTATGCCTGGTTTAATGAAGCCCATCTGATAATTTACAGTAATCGACATGACACTCACGCCCACTGACGTCTGTGTCGCGCCATATGTCACGTATCACTCACCTCAAGTTATATCCCCCTTGTATTTAACCCACAACGGGCACAGGGTCCCAGCACCTGGCTGGTTTGCTTTCCAGTGTGATCTGAGGACGATGACGGTCCATGACGGTCAAGCTCCGCGACTTCTCACCATTCCTGGTCAGCACAGACTTGTGAATCGTATCGTTGCAATCCTTCATATGAAGTAAAGCAGTCAGCTATATTCTCAAAAAAGGTCAGACTATTTTCACGTGGTCACAACGCTATAACGAACAGCAAACCGATCGGTTCGACTATGGATTAGTAAGCAGTGGCTCCTTAAACCCAAGACAACACAGGCGCCGCGCCCGGGCGCAGGGGGCATCTGGCCCACGAACTCCCGCGCACAACAAAACCGGCCGCGCGGTACGGCACGACACCTTCAACGAGCGTCAACAAACAGCAGACACCGCCGCCGCAGGCAGCCCGCCGCCGGCCGCTGGCCGTCATAACCCGGCGCTCTCTGATAGTGTCAGGTACGGTGCCAGGGCCGTCGTTCCGGCGGGCCAATGCTAAGTGCACTTTATTCAGGACTGCTGGGCGCGTGTTGTTGCTGATGTTGCCGGGTCGGCCCGGCTCAGCAGCCTGTTAGCGCGGCATCGACACTGCCGAGCCTGGACCGAGCGGCCTGCGCGGCGGGCGACGCTAGCTATCCTACGGCAAGGCGTGCCTGGCGCCGCCGGCCACGGCGAGGACGGCATCCAAGGCTGGGGGGCGAGCCACGACCGCCTCCGCCGGGCGAAGCGGCGGCGCGCTGCCGCCGAGCCCGCCGCGGAAAACGGAGAGCGGCGACCCACACTGGGCCGCTGCGGACTCGCGGCAGACGGCGAGACACGGCGCGGTTGACGAGCCGCGGCGCGGCGGCTCTCCCGGCTCAGCGGCGGCACAACAGCCTCACTCCGGACAACAAAATGTGCGCACCAGCACACACTACGAACGCGACCGCCGCCGCCGACGGCAATGTCGACCCGACATGTAGATCACAGCGACGCGGGGTCGCCAGAGACGGCGCTCAAGTTTGCCCACTTAAACACGAGACGCAATGGGTGAACTGACGGCAAGCCACATTACGAATAAATCTCTTAAAAACCATTATTTCGGTTGGTTCTACACGGTAAAATCCCAAGAGATCCACTATACAAAAGCGTTATGCTAGACTTAACAAGCAAATCATGTAGGCGGAAATGGAATTGTTGAAAGCGCATTGAAAGATGTTCAAAAGTCCAAGGGCGCGGCCAAACCCACTGGGCCACGCACCACTAAACGTGTGGCACTCCTTAGCATGTAGCCTTAATGTACTGTTTCGTCGGTAGACTGCGGCTCGGTCGGCAGACACGATCGATCGTCCACTCCGATAATATCAGAGGCCGAGGGGCGGTGCTCGCGCCTACCTGAACCATGACCGGGCGCCAACGCGCGGCACTACAGCGAAACACTGCCGCCAGCCGGCCTACATGGGCGGCTTGAGGCCGAAGATGGGCGGCTTGGTGTCCACCGACTGCAGAAAGTCGTTGATGTTGTTGAAGTCCATGGGCATGTCGTCCAGAATGGCGATATCGGGGATGAGGTCGGCGTCGGCGTCGGCCGTCGGGAACCTGCCGCACAGACACAGCCAGAGGTCACCGAGGGTAAGAGGGCAGCGCCGCCGCTGAGCCCGGCCAGGCACGCCTGGTGACCTCTGTCTGCGCCGGCGCGGCGCGGCCCCGGCGGCCGGCGACTGCCCTCTACCCAGCACGTGCCGGCACCCCCACATCGCCACACAGCCTCCGGCATCAGCGGGTGTATTGCGTCTGACGGGTCCGAACAAACTTTTAAACACACGCGGATCAGTGCGGAAGCTTTGCGCATCGGTGACACGACGGAGAGAACAACGTTCAGACACGACACGTCAAAACATTCAAAAGTATTCGTCGTGTTTTTTGTTTTGATTATAGGCACATTAAACACACCTAGCCACCTGCGCGTCCAACGAACGCTTAAAATATGCCTACTATCAAGTGCGCAGTGCGATACTTAACCTATGCGAGCGCAAAACGCTACGATGCAGCAACACGCCTCCAAAATTTACGCCATCCTCGCAACCAACGACTCGGTGCGAGCTACTAGTTAATATGTACGTGTATCACAACGTTCCCGAAATTGCACAAACATCGCGTTTATCGCCATTTTACAGCTAGCTGTTTTGGAATGCAGAAATGAAACACTTGGTACATCCACAGCTTGTGCACGCGGGAATGTCGGCAGCGCAATGGCGAATTTCGAACGCAACAGCGGTCGCCCAAGTGGCACAAAACACGCAAAACGTAGGCTGCTTCCAGAAGCGTGCCGAAAACATCGCTGGGAGTCGCCAAACAACTAAAGCTACGCGGCCGGCGGGGGCGGCACAGCGGCCGACACCGCGGGCTGACGATCGTGGGTATCACTTACATATCACATACAGAGCCACAGCAGCCGCGCTGTGCCGCGCCGAGCCGCCGCCGGCGCCATCGGGCAGCCGTCGGCGGCGCCCGGCGCGGCGGCGACCCTCGCACCAGCAGCGGACAGAGAACAGAGCGCAGGCAGCCGCGCCGGCCGGCTACGCCGGGCCGCACCGGCGCACCACAGCGAAAAAGCGAAAGCATCCGAGGACAGAAACGCTCGCGCCCGCGGCACCGACTATGCTACACAGGCGAGCAGCCTGGCGGCGGGCGACACAGACCGGGCCGGCCAACGGTTACGGCGGAGCGCGTGCGACACAGGCGCGCGCGGACAGAGCCGGCGCCGCACGGTGCATTGAGCAACCACAGCCGGCGGACGACGGGGCGCGGCGCACCAGCGACCTTATGGCCGACACTATGGAGCGTGGGACGGCGCCGGCGGCCGGCGCTAACCCTATCCGGCGAGATGGCACGGGGCCCCAACGCTTGGCAGCCGGGCGGGCGGGCGCGGGACGGCTCACGGAGCGGCGGCCTCCGCGCTCACTGGCGCCCACTCTCGACACGCCGATAAACTCTCTTCAGCTCGTAACACCACCCGCCGCGACCCGCTTCGTTCAAGGTACTCAGTTGGCGCGACACGTGCGGCCGGCCTCCAGTCCACAGACACGCACTGCACGGTCTAGCGGCGGCCGGCGACGGCGGCTGGTGTTCCGCTTGCGGGCCGGCCTCGTCCGTGGCGAGCCGCCGCCGCTCACAGTTCCATACAGGACTGCAGACTGGACGGGCCGCGGACGGCACCACAGCGTGAGAGGGGCGGCAGCGAGTCGCCGCCGCGTCAGCGCGCTCGATCAGACACTACGGCTGATCAGACGGCTGCCCGTCGGGCGCAGCCCCACTCAACTGCACGCAATCTTACCGGCGGCTGCACAAGCAATTAGGAGCTTTCGGCAACGAAGTTATAACCACGCGCCTCGCCGGCGCAGACTGAATTCAGACGAGTTGTTAAAATGCAGCTAATGGGACAGGTCTCCACGGCCAACACAACCGCAAAGGCTGCTGTCTCCGCGCCCTGCACGCCGCCGTCCCACGGAAGAAAATCCGAGGTAGCAAATGTCACTGAGACCAATTTCTCAGACACAGGTCGCCGTGGCCCAGACGACAGCAAATTTCGATCTGAAAAACGGCATCGCCATGGAGCCGCTGTCAAATGGCATCGGGCAGCGTTCATGCGTGCGATAAAGACCGAGCTTTTGCCTAAAGCGATCGATCTAACTTTATTCTATTATGTGGCCGAGACGCGACACAGGAGTTCCTAGTTTGGGGCGGCGGCGCGCCTTCGCCGGGGCGGCGCGAGGCGGGGCGGACTCACGTGTTGACAGACTCGGAGATGGCCGAGTTGACGGACGGCGTGTCACGGTTCGTGTTGTCCGGCGAGGTCGGCGAGTAGAACGTCTGCGGCGTGTTCGGGTAGCTATCCATGCCGCCGGGGCCGGACCAGCTGCGAACACACAGGGCTCACTTACCCATCGGGCGACAGGTCGGCCTGACACGCGCAGAACGCCCGACACGGCCCGCATTCCTGGCTGATTATTACAGCCCCTCGGGCGCGGCACGGTCACACAGACCACACACAGGCCAGGACATCAAACAGGGCGCGGACGCCCGCAGACAGACCACCGCCGTGACTGCCATCTGGGGGCGAGCGCCAGCGACAGCCCGTGGCTCCACCACAGTCACCAACGGTCTCTCACCACGACGCCATGATTCAACGTGCAGACACCGGGATTATTTCGCACGCATGCTTCAGCGAGTTTCTTCTGAGACTATCCTATACGGACATCGCGATGAACTGTCAACCACACGTCAGCTACATGCCGCTGGGATGACGTCTGTTGTTTCTAGGCCGGATTAGATCAAGTCACCTTACCGAAATCTCGACAGCTGCATGCATCCCGCCCGCCAACACATGCTACTGCCGGGCCTGGTTTCCTCGGTGTTGAGTTTGCCGCAGATCACCGGGCACAATGCTATCTTGCGTACCACAGGGAGACAGGGGGAGAGGGCACATCCCGACAGCCACTGACCCCGGGACGTGCGTGACAAGCAGCGGCCGGACGTAGCCGTTGCTAGGACGTGTTGGAGCTGCTGTTGATGGGCGTGTAGTACTTGGAGAAGGCCTGGTCCTTGATGATGTCCGGGTACAGGTAGATGAGATGCTTCAGGTCCGACAGCCGGTCCGCCAGCGAGCGGATGGCGAAGTCTTTATTGGTGAATGGCTGCAGCATGTACACTTGCTGCTCTGTTGGGTCAGGCGCGGAGAGCACGGGATCACACGTCTGATAGTCCGATATTGCGCCCAACGGACGACCATGGCGTTGCGCATATAAAAAAACAAGGTACGGGGTGGACAGCGGCAGCGACAACATTTTCTGTTCCTTTGTGCTCGTCACGTGAGCAAAACATAATCTGTCAAGCTTGTCGGCAACGCTGCATGGACTTCTCTCAGCTGCACCCATTACATGACATCGGCGACCATTCCGAGCTTATCATTACTACGACGGTGGATGTCTCTTACGAAGCGAACACTTCAGCCACCCTCTGTACAGCTTCAGTAGTTTGTAAGGCCCAGGTGACACATACAATCACACAAATAGCCACAATCCTTGGACGCTAAGACTGTTCTAAACAGAATTTGTTTCACTTTTCCTAAATCATTAACAGACCTTCCGTGGTTCGAACTCTAGGTACACCTTCTGACCTTCGGCTACCGACAAGCTTTCGGAATTTGCTCCGATGGAAGCAAACCTCTGTTGTTTTTGGCCGTGCAGATTCCCGACCTGTTTATTGGTAGTCAACTACATACTTTCCGTAATTCCGGAGCCTTACCTTCAACATACAGAAGCAGCTCGACAAGAGCATCCCCGACAGCACACCACCAAAAATGGTTTGGGTAACCCTTTGACCGGCTTGTGCTCCAACACAGAGGTCCGGTGAGACATTAGACTCCATCATACCGTCAAGGCGCTGCTCGGGCCGCTCATTTGGCGGCAGGTGAGCTGTGGCCCGGCACGGCGCATCTGAGCACCCCACCCCGGCGACCGTCGCGCCCTCTGTCACAGCGTGTCCCCGCTAGACCGCCTCGGTACATGACGACGCGCGGATACCTACCTCCGCTCTCGTGGGCGCCCCAGGCGATGGTGATGCCGCCGAGCTCGGAGTCCGAGTAGCGCAGCAGGAAGGTGCCGTGCGGCCGCTGCTGCAGCATCTCCTCAGCCTGGCGGCGGCCCACGAAGCCCATCACCAACCTGGAAACAGCGTGGCCAACCGACCGGTCACGGCTCTGAGACAGCACGGACATCACTGGGGCACACCATCAGCCTGAAACACGGACCGGTCACGGCTCCGAGACAGCACGGACATCACTGGGGCACACCATCCGCCTAAGACATGGACCGGTCACGGCTCTGAGATAGCACGGACATCACTGGGACACACCATCAGCCTGAAACACCGACCAGGTGAAAGTTACCGACCCGGAACAGCGCGGGGACAGATCCAGTCACTAGTATGGGACATTGTGGGTGCCTCAACTCTCAGGAATACGGACGTGAATCACATCGAGTGACATCTCTGCTGCACATCACGTCCTTGTCCCGAGACCGAAAAGTCGGTAAACAACCTTTCAGACTTGAGCACCGACGAGTCGTCGTCCGTTGCTAGAAAGGTTGTCAAAACAATACGCAGAACCTGAATCTCCGGGTATGATGTCCTCGGGAAGGCCATTGCCCATCTGGACGATTATCGGAGGCTTTTTGCCGACAGCCGACATACGCCGGCCGCAAAATTTTATGTCTGATTGCCAGAACGATTGTCGGAGGGCCAATGATTCCCAAGTCCTACGGAAAACACGCACGCAGGCACACAGGTATATATATATATATATATATATATATATATATATATACATATATATAAAGCCACCTAAATATATACACAAGGCCAGACGGCGAGGCAAGATCAGTTCTGCCTAACGTTTATAGTCAATAAACAGAAAAATAATGCATTTAACGCCTGAATGACGTACATCGTCGGCCCTCTCCATTTTGCAATGGTTCAGTAGACTCTTTTTAAACAGATAGAAACCGCACGTCGAGCCATAGCACTTTGCGAGTGGCTTCGACTGCCGTCCTCGTGCCAAGAAGACGTAAGGTATGGGTCGGGGAATACCCGAAGGCACTCACATGCAGGGGAACCACAAGTACCAAACCTAATGCAGATGTGTCCTGGTGCAACCCAAGACGGCCACCGAGGTGTGAGCCCGTCGGGGTGTCGGAACCACCACCGAACTCGACAGCACACCCGGACACGGCTACCGAGGTGTCAGTTCGCCGGGGTGTCGGCACCACCGCCGAACTCGACAGCACACCCCTAGCACACGCCAGACAGACCCCAACACCACCACCGCACTGACCCGTCGTTCCAGGGGCCGCGCAGGTGCTCGCGCGTGAGCTTCATCACGCCGTAGAACCACTCCCAGAAGGTGAAGTTGCGGTCGGTGAGCGGCTCCTTGGCGAACTGCTGCCAGGTGAGCATCATGTTCGAGAAGTCCTGCACATGTGGGCTCCTGCGGCGCGTCAGCTGACCGTCAGCCGGTCACCAGCTGTGCCACGGCCAACAAACACAACCGGCACCCGAATGCACCGGGACTGACGGCTCCCGCATCACGGCCGACAGCTCCCATGGCACAGCGGCCACCCGCCACTGCGGGGCCCAAAAATAACACTTCAGAAAAGCATGGGTGCTCGGAGCTGGGCCTGATTCTCCGGTCTGAGGCAAAGTTCAGTCGTGTCATTTGGTCAGAATTCGAAATTCGTGCGTGTTTAACGGGAGCGCAGAGCCTAGTTTGCTAGTTTTAAGCCATTTTTGCTGATAGGGGCCAGCGAGGCGTTAAAGAAATGGACATTTACATCGCTCGGACACTTGAAACAAAGCCCTTAGCGCTCTCAACATGCTGGTTCTATGTGTTTGGACGTAGCATCGAGCAGGTGTCACTTAACCGAAGGAGGAACGTTATTTTTTGTGAGAAGACGGGGTAGCAATGTTTCTTTAGAATATTTTAACTGCGTCGAGACCGGTTTAATACGCGTTCGGGTGGGGGTCAAGTTGAATCCCCCAGGGTTTTCCGGAACGGTTTCCGCGCGGCGCGGTGTAGCCACGCCAAACTATACATAGCTGCAGACAATTGAATAGCGGATCGTTTGGTATCAAAAATTTAGATGTACCTTGTAAGGTCGCCGACCTACGTCACGTGAAAGTCAGCCCATGGATTCAGCGAAGACGATTTCTCGGGAAACGTTCCATCTGATGCAATAACAGAGTGTTAGACGGAGCCATACATCTCTGATATAGTTTCTAAGGCAACACCACCACTGAATGAATATATTCTATTGACGTAGGGTCGGGCATGAAGGTCACATCAAGGTCAAAACCAAACCGTTTTATTCCTGTACAGCATACTGCATGGAGTAGTTCCTGGTATTCATTCATAATTTATTGATAACAGGAACCGCATTATACATCCTCCATAGAATTATTTAAGGTCAGGATAGGTCACTGACCAAAAATGACTTACGTCCACATTTTGTTTCTAGGAAGGTGCTGCCTAGCGTAATCTTTGGCGTTTATTCAAGGGCAGGACTCTTAGCAGTCCTCTATGATTTTGGTCACCATGACCTCCAAAAGGTCAAACAACGTCACTGTCCCCGAATAAGCACCAGTGATCATTTGCCTAGAACAGGTATACAGGTACTGGGGCCCTTTGGACACTAATCTGAAGTTTGACATTGCGACCTTATTTGACATAAAAGGACGTGACCCAGGAACCCCAATTTTTGCCACTTGTGAGCTCACGTGCAGACCAACACACCATGTGCATTTGGTGTCCCTAGCTCTCTTAATTTATGAGGCCTCAGGGGGTCAAATTGGCCTCCCGACCGAGCAAACGGTATATTTACCCGGGCGCGTGTTAAACGAATCCTCAATCTGACCTCACTTCGAC